ACTACAAATTCTGATGTAATTTAGAAGTGGAGTGTATGATGTCTCCAGCTCTCCCTCGACACGAGACCGACAGAGGACTCATTGATGACGAGATATTGTAAGTCTTTTTCGTAGAGATTTGGCTCCGTTTAATTCAAAAGTCAATTCGGAAAAATTGAGCAAAGCTGATGTCAATTCAGTACAGTCTCATCTATCAGTACAAATCAAATAAATAACCGGTTGCTTTTTGCTCGTGCCCGGCGAATCCATTATCTAGGTCTTTCAATCAATTTAATAATAAATGTGTTGTGATGCCTGTCCACTCTTTAGTCACGTGTCATTTTGCGTTTTCCATAATTTCTTGAATGAGCATGTCCTAAAGTTCAAGAGTCTTTGCTCTCTTTTGATGATCGCAAAATAATCCCAGGGTTTACGGCATGCGGAAACTAATCTCCAAAAGCCTGCGGTTACGAATTACATTTCTAACCTCATTTCTAGACACGCTTTCCTCATTTTGAACTTGTTGTTTATAGTTAGTTTGCAAATGAAATGTTGTATTCAGAGATCAGCCGATGTTAGTTGGTGACACATTTTCGCATTCGGAGTCCATAGACTGTCTCTCAGCTGTAAGGCGAATGGAATTTGAGGCGGAGAAAGCTACGCTCATTTCAATAGATCGTTCACTCATCGAGGATAACGATACGCTGTAAGTCACGATGTAATTGTGTAAAGTAAGTTCTGGATACAACTCTGCGGTAATTCTACAATCCTGGGCCTACAGCAATGAGCAGTGCAGCCTAAACGACGTTCTAAATTTTGCACTTTTCAAACTTAAGAAAACAGCTTTAGTCACAGAAAATGCTTAGAATAAAATGGATCAAAAATTAAAGGGAATTTATACTGGGCAGCAAACCTCCGACAACTGCAATCATAAAAGTAATCTCCCCTAAACTCTGATATTATCAACCTTGTCGAGTATGCATCGCAATACTAACACTAATGAACCTCTTCCTTGAATCTTTTGTTCATTGGGCAATCTATTTTCATGTTAGTTTGTACATCTTATCAATAGTGACGGTCCACATCAGTTTCATATAGGGCTGCAGCACATAGTTATAAGAAACAAATTGCAGCAGTCATTCGTCTGAGATTTTTATCTAAACAGGATGAATAATCCGTGAAACAAGTTTGGGAGTCTTTTCTTTCAAAAAAATAGGAATTCGATTAATCTATAAGGCGAT